GTGCAGCGAAGATTGACATCTAGAACATTCCCTCTCAAATTATAATGAGCATATGAATCATCCAGGCATCTTGTTAAAATGCAGATTCTAATTCTGCAAGTCTGGGTTAACTTGCAGGTAATACTGCTGCTGCCGGGACCACGGTTTGAGTAGCAAGCGTATAGATGGGTGATAGGCAGTATGGCACTAGAAAGAACTGTCTTTGTTGTGTTTTTTTGAGACAGAGTCTCACTCCATTGCCCTGGCTAGAGTGCCGTGGCATCAGCCTAGCTCACAGCAACCTCCAACTCCTGGGCTCAAGCCACATAAGCAATGACTTGTCTTATTCCTTTAAAAGTTGAGTTAACAGCGAAATGCCTTATAGCCGGCTAATAAACTCCATAAATCGAGTACAATACACAAGCGGGGTCTGGGTTAATTGTTCCACAACAGTGCCACAATTAGGTGGCGCTTTATCCGCCACGCTCTGCGCAACACCCCTATCGCACTTGGCCTTGCCGCTTTCTAATTTTGCCCATCCATCAGCCCCCTCCTCCTACATTCTTCACCTCTCCACTTAAAAGTTAATGTCATTATCCTGGTCTCTGGAGCTGCCCTCCCCGATCCGCTCAGCGCTTTTGGTACCTCCGACAACTGTTGACATTTGGGCAGATAATTCTTTCGTCGTCCGGATGGTGTCCTGTGCATTGAAGAGCTCAGCGGCATCGCCTGCCCTTGCCAAGTAATGCCAGTTAGCCCAGCCCCACTTCTGTAACAGTGTCCTCATCCATCCTTGCTAATGTCCCCTTTCCCCCTGCCTGCCAGTTGAATGACCTGCCTTCTGGAGCTGATATTTTCTCCTCCCTCGGCTCGTGCGTTAGGGTTTCCCGTCTTCATTATTTCCTGCAGCTCAACTTCCAACAGAAGCCGGCCAGTTCCCTGACTACCCTCATCCTAACTGCTGCACGTTCTCTCATCACAGCCACACTGTCCCCTCGGTGACCTACTGTTAAATTACCCACACTGTGTGGGTGTGTGTGTGTTGGCTGTTGTGATTGCGTGGGGGAGCATTTACAATCATTGCAACTTCTCCTCCACATGCGACCGTGTAGAGCCACGAGTAGGCAGGCAGCAGCCCCTTCACATGCCTGCCATTCAGCGTTCTGGTCCGCAGAACCTAACGAATCAGGCGGCTCAGCACACACAGCTTGAATGTGTCCAGCCAATTCTGCACAGTAAATGTGTCCAGCACATCAGAGCTAGTGTATAAGTGTGATCCAGGGCACACACAATAAATATGTCGCGCAACTCTGCTGTTTTATGAGGCCGGGCATCGATAACCTTTAATGAGCGCTAACAAGCGTTCAGATCCTCCGTAGCTCACACCTGTAACTCCCTAGCACTTCTGATGGCAGCAGAGTCTGCATTTGACTCAGGACAGGTAGACACAACTAGCCTGAGTAACGGAGCTGAGGAACCCTGTCTCTATTAGAGAACTAAGGCAAAGAAATTCTAATTGCGACCAACTGCTAATATATACACTTAGTTGTCTTTTGAGCCAAAACCTTAGCCAGGCATGGTGGCGCATGTCCTGTCGTCTCCCAGCTACTTGGAGCGAGGCCAGGAGGGATCGCTTGAGTCCCAGGCAGTTTGCGGTGCTAGAGCTATGGCCCTAGTTACCTACCACCTGGGCACTCACTCCTAGCTCTGGGGCTATACATAATGATGCACCTTCCATGTCTCAAATAATAAGAAAAAAAAAAAGTGTCACGGGTTAGGAATGAGATTCATTGGTGACGGTTTTTGCCCGACGGATTTGACACATCTCAGCTTCATAGTTCTATCTTGGCAGATTTCCACTGCTTGAGATTCGTACGTTACTGAATGACTCTTAACAAGAGTCTCGAGGTTCTCTATCTTCGACGTGGCACAACGGAAATCGTCCCGCATATCAGAATATTTCCCTTATCATATGCCGAGCCCTGCTTCGTGCCTCACTCCGCCCTTATAGAATCTTCTTGAGCCCTCAGTGTCGGCTACCCTTTCGCTGCCACTTTTTACGTATGAGTGATCCATGACCCTACAGGTTTGGAGCGCCCTGACTTAAATTTACCTTTCGCCCTTCACAAGCTCGGAAATCTGTTGGTACACGCAGCACGTTTCTAGAGCTGTCAGGTCCAACTCCTCCAAGATTTAGCCTTCTACGCCCTTCTGTCACCGCCTCTCCCTCCTCCCTCTCTCACTCACGATCTCTACACCTCCAGACTAACTCCTGCTCAGTTTTGTGTTTTCTTCGAACACGACTACACTCTTGCCTTGCCCAGCTACAGTGAGGTAGGCCGTGGCGTCAGCCCTAGTGCTACAGCAAACCCCTGACCTGTCAGCCGCTACACCTCCAAACTCCATGGGCTGCAAGCGAGTCCATCCTGCCTCTAGCCTCCCAAGCAATACTGGGATACAGGCATTGTCCGCCCGACCGATCTGTCCGCGTAGTATAGATTTTTTTCTATGTTGTTTCTTTTTCAGTTGTGGCGCGAGATTAACTTTCTTACATTCTAATTGTCATTAGCGCGGTACAAGCGATGAGGGTCTCGCCTCAAGTTTGCTCAGCGCTGGTCCTCAAACTCCTGAGACTGTTAGCAATCCTCCCTCCTCCGCGCTCTCCAGTGTCCAGCTGCCTGGGAATTTAACCAGGCGGATCCCCTGGCGCCCTTGGTCCCCTCACGCCTTCGTCTCCTCTTTCATCAATTCATCTACAGCCCCTGTTGTGTTACCTACTGCCTCTCGCTTTGGAGCCTATACGAATTGCCTTCCATGCTAGTTGTCTTAACTCTCGAGTTGATTACAGCCCTACCAAGGCAGACAGATCTAGAGCGACTAAATTATGAACTGCACAGCGAACGGGATAAGTGGAGCTTGCGATGTGAACAGAGTGACAGAGGAGAAGAGAGTGGACCCTAGGGAACGGCTTGAGACAAAACAGTCTTTCACTACTTTGCTCGATATTGCAGTCAAGTGTGCTCTCCGCGAGCGCCATGCAAGATTCTCTCTTCCACGCTTCCCGAGGTTTCAGGTCCTCTGGGGACAGGGACTCTGTTGTATTTTTCAGTTATCTGATCATTCATACTCTTGTACGGCTTTCCTCCCCGCAGCACCGTCCAGCAATGGTGCTTTTTTTTAACTTTTTTTTAAACACAGCAATCACCCAATAAAATCTGCTGCTGTATTGACCATCAGCTTAACATATTTAATACCAAACAGTCTTGCTTTTAAAAATACTGCAATATTAGCGCCCTCAGCCCTTCATCAGAGGTTTTTTTTCCTCTGTCCTATACTAGTTTGATAAAGAAAACACATGTTATACAGTCACTTTAACTGAGCGCAGAGCGGATCATCTCTACGACGGGCAAAACCAATTAAGAAAGTCCTTTTCAATTTATTTGCATCCCTCAAAGACCACAATGGGGAACTTGAACAGGTGAGAGGGAAGTCAGGTGCCTGAGATGAGGAAATACGACAAATATTGAAAGGCCATTCAGACTAAGCGAGGAGGGAGTGTTGAACTGGAAAACTATTCAATGGCGTGTTAATCAGTTTCCACTGTGAAGCTGTTAAGTCACTCAGAATCAAGAGCGAAAGCACCTCGGAAGCTGCTCCTGTGCAGCCAGGAACCACCGCTGACATCTTTTTTGTCTGCTCAAACTTTGGAAAACAGAACACCATGCAACTTCCTTTCCAATGTACAAAGTTGGGAGTTTTGCGTTTGAGTGTTACCAGTCAGGTGATTTTATAGACTTCTCAAAGTGTTGAGGCATTGGTGGCCTGGGTGCTCACGCCTGTCATCCTAGCACTCTGGGCAAGGCTGAACGAAGGCCAGATTGCTCAAGGTCACGCGAGTTCGAAACCAGCCTGAGCAAACACAACCTCCCGCCCCCCGCAGCTCTACTAAATAATAGAAACGAAATTAATCTGACCAACTAAAAATATAGTGATACAAAACAACAGAGGCCAGGCGCCGATGATGTAGTCCCGCAGCTACTCGTGAGGCTGAGAGCAGGAGATCACTTTGCAGCCCAGGAGTTTGAGGTCTGCTGTGAGCTTTAGGCCCTGGACTGCCACGGCACTGACACCTAGCCCTGGCAACAGAAGTGGAGACTCTGTCCTCAAAAAAAAAAGCCAAAAATAAACCAAAACAAACAAACAACAACAACACAACAAACAAAGTGTTCCACTACGTTCTA